TGGGAAGCCAAGACAACATCTATAGAAAAGCTTGATGTGTCACAACAAGGCTCAGCCATAGGGAAATAAGGCAATATAAAAAAAAAATGACCAAGGTATTTTGGTCACAGAATGGTCTTCTTCCTCCTCCCAGCCAACCCCTGTGAATGCATCTCTATATATCTTTATATATATATATATATATATAATAATATAGAATCTGTTTCTTGTTAAAAAGTATTTCAATGATCATATATATTTATCAAGGCATGATGGCTTTAGGAAAGGGGGGGGAATCCATCATGGAAGAGCTGAGAAGAGAAATGCAGGAAGGGTAGGCTGGGGTAAGAAGTGTAAGAAGAAACTGGGGTCAAACAAATGCTCATCAAAGGGTGGCACCAACAGAATTTTCACTAATGTTTCCCACCTTCTAAGAGGCACTGATGATACAGATGGGTGCCAGGACCCCATCTCTTCTCTTGTATCCCTCTCCTGATTCTTCTCACCACCATGCATTTTAATGCTTCATGGCTCTCTCTTCCCACATGTCTCTTGGACCCATGCTACCTTGCATCCCGGGGTTGATGGGTATGGCCCATATGTCTCTGGCCCCGGGTGCCTGATCTCAGAAGCCATTGCCACTGATATTAATGGACTGCAGATCCGCCACCTGCATGACGTTGATGCCACTGTTGGCAAGACGGGCAATGCCCTCTGGACAGATGGCCTCCATGGCTACCATATTGGTGGTAATAAGGGCTGAAGGAGTGGCAGTGCCGCTGCCTTCTGAACCTGCCCCACTGTCCAGGGGCAAAGTGCCCACACTCAGAGCTACACCTGGGCCTCCCTTCTTATTCTGGTGGGTCTTGATATGTTTTGACAGGTGGTCACTCCTCATGAAGCGCTTAGGACACTCAGGGCAGGCAAATTTCTTCTCACCTAGGTAAAGGAAGGAAAGATAAGAAGCTGACATGTTAGGAAGTGAGGTTATCTTACCCAGTTCAGTAATTACTCTACTAAGCTGAGTAAGACCAGTATGAGAAGATGATTAAAAACAAGAAAAATCTTCAAGTATCTTTTCCTTTGGTGGGGGCGTGGGGAAGAAAAGTAGATAAAGGTTGGGGAGTACTCAGTAAGGAGGGTAGAACTTAGCAGAAAAGTAAGGCAGGGCAGAGACTAAGAGTAATGGTTTCAACGCCTTGCCTTCAAAACATCCCACTCAAAATCTAGTTCGTTCCTTCTTTTTTTTTTGAGACAGTCTTGCTCTGTCGCCTAGGCTGGAGTGCAGTGGCACAATCTCAGTTCACTGTAACCTCCACCTCCTGGGTTCAAGCAATTCTCCTCCCTCAGCCTCCCGAGTAGCTGCGATTACGGGTGTGCGCCAGCACGCTTGACTGTTTTGTAATTTTAGTAGAGACAAGGTTTCCCCATATTGGTCAGGCTGGTCTCAAACTCCTGACCTCAAGAAATCCAACCACCTCGGCCTCCCAAAGTGCTGGGATTACAGGCGTGAGCCACCGCACCCAACTCCTTCCTTTTTTTTTTTTTTTTGAGACGGAGTCTCACTCTGTCGCCCAGGCTGGAGTGCAGTGGCACAATCTTGGCTCACTGCAATCTCCGCCTCCCAGGTTCCTGCCATTCTCCTGCCTCAGCCTCCCGAGTAGCTGGGACTACAGGAGCCTGCCACCATGCCCGGCTAATTTTTTTGTATTTTTAGAGACGGGGTTTCACCGTGTTAGCCAGGATGGTCTTGATCTCCTGACCTCATGATCCGCCCACCTTGGGCTCCCAAAGTGCTGGGATTACAGGTGTGAGCCACTGTGCGCAGCTCCTCCTTCCTTCTTAAAAGGTTTCCAGATTAACTCCAATTCCATTTGTGACCCATATATTTAGTTTCAAATTAAGTTGTTCAGAAATTTTAGTTATTTTGTAGGTATATTTTGTGTTTTTCATTCTAGGCTATTACTCTATTTTTCTCCCATAGGCTCTTGCTCACCTGTGTGTGTACGTTTGTGCCTCTGTAGCTCATCTGAACGTGTGAAGCGTTTCCCACAGTATGACCAGGTACACATAAATGGCCTCTCGCCTGTATGCCAGCGCAAGTGTGCCCGCAGGTGTGAAGTCTTGCCATACACTTTCCCACAGCCTTGGATGTGGCAAATATGTTGTTTCTTTTTGCCAGGATCCCCCGAGCCCCTGAAAGTGAGGATACAACTATTTATCATTCATTCTAGAGACAGAAACTAAAGAACCACAAAGTATCAACAACAGTCACCCAACCTACACCAAACTAACCCAAACTTTTATTTTTTGAAAAAGCCTTCTTTTTTGTTTTGTTTTTTTGAGACAGAGTCTCACTCTGTCGTCCAGGCTGGAGTACAACGGCATGATCACGGCTCACACCTCCTAGGTTCAAATGATTCTCCTGCCTCAGCCTCCCGAGTAGCTGGGACTACAGGCGCCTGCCACCTCGCCCGGCTATTTTTTTGTATTTTTTAGTAGAGACGGGGTTTCACCATGTTAGCCAGGATGGTCTTGATCTCCTGACCTC